TCTTTAAAATCTTTTCCAATTCTCGAAGCTTATTTTCCCAAAAAGGCATTTTCTTGAAACTAATGTTTGTGCCCCAAATTTTCATTTCAAAATTTCAGTCTTAGAGACTTTATAGTTAACTTTCTCACTTCTATAGAATCAGATAAACTCTTGGCCTCTTCTGATTCAATAGTTGTTCTTTCTGGTTCACGAAAGGTCATAAATTGCTCCATGATGGTCCATGTGTACGCTGTGTTTTTCTACAGAAAATATCAACAATTCAGATATGATATTCATTTTTAATTACCAGAGTTAGTGGATCTTCCAAGCTGCTTTGCATCTAAATGTTTCCAGCTGATCTAGAAGGAAAAAAAGGCTTGAGTTTCTCTTCATCCTCCGTAAGTATTTGTAGTTTTGTTTGATCTTTTCAATACACCGTAAAAAAAAATACGGTCATGTATTATAGTTGACTTGAGTTTTTTTTTTTTTTTTGATAAAGAGTTGACTTGAGTTGTTAAATGTATATATATAATTCTATGATTGATGTCTGACAATTTTAAAAGTATATCTTAACCTTGTATTTGTATAAGAGCAGTGCTAGGGGCACTCGCCTCTTGCACTCTCCGGTCAACACTTCTCCTTTCATTGGGCCACGTAAGCTTGTTTCAGGCTTTGAAGCGCAACCTCTTGCCGACAAGAATAGCGTGGCCGAAAAAAAGGAAAGTGTTGGCCGGAGAGTGCAGGAGGCGAGCACCCCTAGCCCTCCTCTTTGTGAAAATACGGTTTAATAAGTAATATTATAATTTATATTTTTTCATTAAAATGAAAACGAATGCTCTGCATCCGAATTCGTTTTCAACTGCACCTTGAGGAAAATGGCTTGAGTTTCTCATTAAAATAGTATGTTACATATTAATATTTTAAAAAAGGTCTTAAAATTTTAATTTTATTTATTATTATTTTATATAAGATTGGAGAAATTCAGGATTTTTTAGAAATTAAAATATCATAAATAATAAAAAAATTAAAATATTTTTAATAAATTAGCCTGTAACAAGTATTCATTAAAATATTAAAATATTTGAATAATTTAACATGCAGTCCTACTATTTTAAACACCAGGAAGTCTCGCTTTTCACTTTCTTTACATGTATATTGCATAATCTTTTCTTTGGATTACGCATTCCCTCTTCCAAAGGATTAGATATCGGTTTTCTTCTTTTTTACCCCTCTAGCGTTTTTGTTTCTACTTTACATGTAGTGAAAATTGATTTTGGAAGTAGCTAGAAAGCACTTCAGAGCAATATGTGGAGAAGATTTAGCAGTGTTATCCTGTCTTTCGTCATTCTAAGTCATTTATGCAAGGTACATTTTCTTCCTTCAATTAACTTTAATTTAATTTGTACAATTGATCTATGTTGCATTCTTTGAAGCTGCAAATAATAATATCTTGTTAAAACGGCATAACTAACCAACTGCTTTTATTGCAGAATTAACAGCTGCTGTTCCAGTCTCATGTCCGCTTTGGCTGACTTCTTTTCTTCATTGCACTCATATTTTCTAAGGTAAATGATAAGCTTCAAGTTTCTGTGGCTTTACTAATGGTATCCAATCGATCGTAATTTACCTTCTCAACGCACTTCCCTTTCATCCTTGTGATTTTACTTGTCATCTCAAATTGTATTATTTGATCTGCAGAAAACATCATTTCATTTTGGTAAAATCTAGTGCATTCCTCCTTCTCTTATTTTTGAGTCATCTGGAGAAAGCAATAGCCATTTAAGCAGGTAAATTTTCTTCTTTCAGCTAGCTATTGTACCATTGAATTATGTCTCATTTGGATCTACACATAAAATATCCTTTTTTTAATTGGTAAATGCTAATGCATATACGTTTTGTTTTTTCTCATATACTTCGTCTCCCTAAAGAAAAAGATATAAAATTAATTGATTTGATGGAAAGACGGTTCTTGATGAAGTTTTGATACATTTTTTGAAGTCCTTAATTTTCTGATGCATGATACATGTGCTATATAAACACACAAAAACCAATATTTCTTACGATATCTTTATGTAAATAACTTGATGCAGTGACTGCGTTATGGACTTGGTGGGGCCAATCATTGAAATTGTTAAGCTTGTTGGTCGTCCAATTGTAAAATACCTGAAATATCAGATAAAATTCAATGGCTATTTGAAAAAATTCAAGGAAAGCAAAGAAGGCTTGTCCAATCGAAAGCTTGAAATTGAAGCAAGACTAGAGACACAGCTTCAATCTGCATATTACAATGTTGCAAAGGCAGAAGTGCAAGAATGGCTGAAAGATGGGGCTGAGTTTATTGTAAGACGGGATGTTGAAGATGAAGTGAACAGTTGGGGTTATCTCTCTTGTTGTTGCCGAGCAGTGATTCTAGAGGAAAGAACACACGAATTGAAGGAAATATATGATAGAGGGGATAAATACACTAATGAGTGTTTGGTCATTGAAGATCACTCTAGGAAACTCAATTATGATGTGAAGAGTTTTAAAGAATTGAAAGAAAAGCTGCAGCACAAACAGGGAGATATTGTTTGTTCACAACTTGTCCATGGGAAAATTGAGAAGGAGGAAGTCAAACATTGGCGAGAAAAAGTGGAAGAGATAACTGGCCGTATTGCCAAAGATATTGAAGATAAATTGGATGGAGGAAGCTGTCTCTCACATGCTTCTGACCCAACAGTAGTGCTTCTTAGAGAAAAGATTGAAGAAATGGAGAGAAATTTTGAAGAAGGAAGTCGATTGCCAGACTGTTTGGTCATTGATGATCCATTAGCTTCACTAGTTGAACTGCCAACATCAGAGTTACAAGGCAGTGAAAGTGTTAAAGCAAATATTTTGGCGTGCTTGAAGGGAGAAAAGGTGACAAAGCTGGGAGTTTGGGGGATGGGGGGAGTAGGGAAAACAACAATCATGAAGCATGTCCATAATGAATTGTTGAAAGAAGATAAATTCAAGAAAATAATTTGGGTATCCGTGTCACAGAACTTTGATATCTACAAATTGCAAGAACAAATTGCATGTAGCTTGAAGGAAAAGTTGGAAAAGCGTCAAAATGAAACTAATCGTGCAGGAGTGTTGTCAAAGATGCTAGAAAAACAGAAGCCTTACTTGTTGATTCTGGATGATGTGTGGAGCAGTTTCAGACTTGAAGATGTTGGAATTCCCGAGCAACATATAGCTAATGGTTGCAAGTTAGTATTGACTACACGGTCACAAGAGATTGCTCGTTCAATGGGTTGTAGAAGAATCAAAGTGGAGACTCTTTCTGGAGAGGAAGCTTTAAAATTGTTTTTAAATAAAGTTGGAGGTACTGTTTTATCATATCATGGAGGCGGCATTAAAAATGATTTAGAATCAACTTTGAAGGGGATTGTGGATGAATGTGATGGTCTTCCATTGGCAATTGTTACAGTTGCTGGCAGCTTAAAAGAAATATCCGTGCCACAGTTGTGGGGTGCTGCATTGAACCAATTGAGAGATTGCAAAAGAAATGTAGCTGGTACAGATGATGCTAATGCATTTAAGATATTAAAGTTCAGTTATGATTGTTTGAAGAACCCAAAGATCCAGTATTGTTTCTTATACTGCGCATTGTATTCTGAGGATTACAAGATTCCAAAGGAGGAAATTATTGAAAACTGGATTGATGAGGGGTTTATAGATGATATGGAAACTCGACATGCAATGAAGGATGAGGGTTATGATATTTTGAGGAAGCTTGAAGACAATAGCTTGTTGGAAGTCATTAAAGATGAACATGAAGGAGATTGTGTGAGGATGCTTGATCTTATCAGGGACATGGCGTTGGACATTACAAGAACGAGTCCTCAGTTCTTGGTTGAAGCTGGCAAGTCATTGACAGAGCTACCAGAGAAGGTAAAATGTGCAGAAGATGTTGAAAAGGTTTCAATAATGTTTAATCAGATAGAAGAAATTCCATCAAGCATGGTATCTTCAACGTGCACAAGGCTCACAACCTTACTGCTGGCCCATAACAAATTGTCAACAATTCCAGAATTTGTCTTTGAGCACATGCCTGAGCTAAAAATTCTAGATCTGTCCTTCAATTACAAGCTATGGAGTCTGCCAAATTCAGTCTCCAAATTGATAAAGCTTATTACATTGTTGTTGGAATCAACATCCCTTGAAAAGGTACCATCTTTATCAAGCCTTGGATCCTTGCAAAAGTTAAACCTTAGGGGGACAAAAATCAAAGAAGTCCCTGAAGGCTTGGGAATGTTGAAGAATTTGAAATGTCTTTTTCTTTGTGGATCAAAAGATTACAATCTTGAAATAGATGAAATAGCAGATGAAGTATTATCAAATCTCTCCAAACTTCAGGAGTTAATTGTAGATAGGAGTAGAATAAAATTGAAGGCGGACCTGGTTGGGAGATTGATGAAGTTAGAAGTTTTTCATGGACGGTTCTCCACTGCGAATGAAATGAGAATCTTTCTCAAATGTCAGCCTAATAGGTTGAGTGACTATTTTATTAATGTTGGAAGAAAATTGAATGTGACTTATAGTGTTACAACAGAGTTACCAAGATATAAGAAAATAATAGTGTTCAAGGAGACTAGTTGTGTTGGAGAGAATACGTTATTTCCTTCAGTGCAAGTATTATGTATTGAAGCTTGCCACGACATAAGAAGCTTAAATGATTTTTCTGTAATCAAAGATGCAACAGATTTGAGGAGATGTTCGATTACGAATTGTGATGGCATGGAGTGCATTCTTTCCTCGTGGATAAACAACCCAGTCGTCCAAACCCTTGAGTTTCTGCTTCTTTATGGTTTGCACAAATTGGATTGGCTGTTTGAAGCAAACGTCATGGCAACATCATCACCTCTACCTAGGGCTTTTTCATCTCTCCAAGTAGTTCAGATTTATTTTTGTAAAAAAATAAAGAAGTTGTTTCTATCGTGGAAGTTGGTGGAATATCTCCAAAGTCTAGAAAGGATCACAGTTTGGGATTGTGAAGAAATGGAAGAAATAATAGGATCAGATCCAGAAGAAGAAGGAGAAGAAGGAGGGGACATCATCAAGGAGCTCATTCTTCCAAAATTAAAAAGTTTGGGATTGGGGTGGTTGCCCGCATTGAAGAGCATCTGTAGTAGGAGGGCAGTAATGGTATGTGATTCTCTTCAATCTATTACCATTAGAGGTTGCAAGGGCCTAAGGCGGATCCCTCTTTATCTTCCCCTGGTTGATAACGCCCAACCATCTCTTCCTCCTTCCCTCAAACAAATCTATATAATTTCACAATCAGAAGAATGGTGGGAATCGTTGCAGTGGGACCATCCCAATGCAAAGGAGGTCCTTCAACCCATGGTTCAATTTTATTAATCTATATGCGATTCCATCATTGGAGTCAGAAAAGTCTGAATCGGAGGAATATCCAGAAGATTGAAAGGTGAGAATCAATTTGCACATTTTAATTTAGGCATGACTCTCTGCAAATCTTTGTTCTACCATTCATTTCCAACAAATTGAAGAATTTTTTCTGAATGAAAATGCATTTATATAAATTCCCTAAAAAAACAAAATGTATAGTAGTGCTTATATATAATTTCCTTTCCCCATGATTTTCAAGTAATGAATTTTTCTTTCTGTTTTTTCAATGGCTCAGGAAGCCAATTCATTCAACTAGTCCGTTGCTTTTCGTTCCGGGCTTCGAAGGATGTCCTTTCTACTACGCTTGTGTGGATTGTTTTAGTGTGATTCTTGTGTTTTCAAAGTTTGTGTAAATTAATTGTGTTTAAAACTGATTTAGAACGCCATTTTTACTCTGTATTATTATATATCTCTGTTGTATGATGTAGATGCATAAATATGTGTTGTCTATGTAATCTTGATGAATTAGCTGGAGAGGAGTAGGAATTCCAACCCACAACAATCAAATCACCAATTCATTGATTCTCTTCTTTCTTCTTTCTTCTTTTTCTTCTTCTTCTTCTTCTTCTTCTTCTTCTCTTCTGTTGTGTGATAGCTTCTTGTTCATCAGTACAAGATGGAAAGGTTTAGGGAAACATTGGGAGCCAAGCATAAAGGTTTAGGTCTCTTTTTCTGTCGTTATATATGTTTTCTTTTTTCCCAAAATAATATTTATGTATGTGTGTTGTTTAACTCTTTCATTTTCTCTAACTTGCAGAGAAGCAGCTATGGCGACAGGGGCAGACAAGACCACGAGGAAATCATCTACAACACTTCATCTCCTCCTGACTGACTCCTTTAATAGATTTGGACAAGGTTTTTTCTCCTCTTCTTCTAAATTTTCTGTTTCAATTCCTCTAACAGTTCATCTCACTTTTGACTGCTATTTGATCTAAGTTTTCGCTAATATTATCACCATTCCTGAAATGGGTCCCTCTGTAAATCGTCTTCTCAATAATTCAGTACCAATAAGTCAAAAAAATATTCATTAATGAAAATGCACATATTGGTTTATTATTTTAGAAGTGTAATGCTTTCCTGGTGATTGCTTACAAATGAACTTCAAAATGAACCATAGGTAGGAGAAATTAATGGCATTTGCCAAAGTTTTTTTGTATTTAATTATATCAGGAAGCTGAGACATCGGTGTCTCTCTCTTCAAACTCTTCAAGATATTTGGATACTAATCAAAAAAGGGTCTCCACTATTCTAAATTTCAATTGTGTTGATGTTCAGTTTGTATACTTATTATACCAATCATGCTTGGATTTGAAATAAAAAGAATTCTGCATAAGTATTCAGCTCAAATGTGCATGATTTTGTAGCAGCATAACTTGCTGCTTTGCATTGTATTACAGTATTGGATGGAATAGATTTTATCCAATATATATATATGCATGATTTCATATATCAGTTTCTATGAATTTTATTTTTCTTTTCTGTTTTTACCACGATGAAACATTGAATCACTCAAGTATTTTATAATTTCTTATGCATTAGGTATTCAATGTAGACAGGGCTTATGGTCAAAACACTTCTGTAGTTTCAATCCACCAAGGCACAAAAAGCGATGTTCTTTTGGCTTACAAGGTGAGGATTCAAATGAGTAGTGGTGGGAGCTCTTACATTTTTTATGGTTTTGGTGCTATAGAATGTAGATCTTATGAATCTTATGCAAGTCAAACTTTGATTCACATATGTTGTCATATCTAGACAAGCATGAATGCACTAAACTTTGATTCTGTAATTAAATTTTATTAAGACTTACTGAGTTAAGGTTGTCGATTTGTATAAGGTTCATGATAGATCTGCTTCAGATGTGAAATAGAATAAAGAAGGATGAAGAGGACAGAAAAATGAATGAAGGTGAAGCTGAGATCGA